TTATATAAGAACATGATATGTTTGTGTATTGGTGAAAGTAATCATGCTAAATTTTAGTAAATAAAAGGTGATGCTAGATGTACCTTAACCATTCAATTGTGCTTTGTTTCTGCTTCATTCTCAATTATTGTCGAGGGACAGTAGTTAGAGCTAGATGCTTCAGGCTTATGAAGAGAAACTAGGAGCCCTCAGACTGCAGGTTTGAAACAGTCAGAAAGACTACAGGTTTGAAACAGTCAGAAAGACTGCAGGTTTGAAACAGTCAGAAAGACTGCAGGTTTGAAACAGTCAGAAAGACTGCAGGTTTGAAACAGTCAGAAAGACTGCAGGTTTGAAACAGTCAGAAAGACTGCAGGTTTGAAACAGTCAGAAAGACTGCAGGTTTGAAACAGTCAGAAAGACTGCAGGTTTGAAACAGTCAGAAAGACTGCAGGTTTGAAACAGTCAGAAAGACTGCAGGTTTGAAACAGTCAGAAAGACTGCAGGTTTGAAACAGTCAGAAAGACTGCAGCTTTGACACAGTCAGAAAGACTGCAGGTTTGAAACAGTCAGAAAGACTACAGGTTTGAAACAGTCAGAAAGACTGCAGGTTTGAAACAGTCAGAAAGACTGCAGGTTTGAAACAGTCAGAAAGACTGCAGGTTTGAAACAGTCAGAAAGACTGCAGGTTTGAAACAGTCAGAAAGACTACAGGTTTGAAACAGTCAGAAAGACTACAGGTTTGAAACAGTCAGAAAGACTACAGGTTTGAAACAGTCAGAAAGACTACAGGTTTGAAACAGTCAGAAAGACTACAGGTTTGAAACAGTCAGAAAGACTGCAGGTTTGAAACAGTCAGAAAGACTGCAGGTTTGAAACAGTCAGAAAGACTGCAGGTTTGAAACAGTCAGAAAGACTGCAGGTTTGAAACAGTCAGAAAGACTGCAGGTTTGAAACAGTCAGAAAGACTACAGGTTTGAAACAGTCAGAAAGACTACAGGTTTGAAACAGTCAGAAAGACTGCAGGTTTGAAACAGTCAGAAAGACTACAGGTTTGAAACAGTCAGAGAGACTGCAGGTTTGAAACAGTCAGAAAGACTGCAGGTTTGAAACAGTCAGAAAGACTGCAGGTTTGAAACAGTCAGAAAGACTGCAGGTTTGAAACAGTCAGAGAGACTGCAGGTTTGAAACAGTCAGAGAGACTGCAGGTTTGAAACAGTCAGAAAGACTGCAGGTTTGAAACAGTCAGAAAGACTGCAGGTTTGAAACAGTCAGAGAGACTGCAGGTTTGAAACAGTCAAAAAGACTGCAGGTTTGAAACAGTCAGAAAGACTACAGGTTTGAAACAGTCAGAAAGACTACAGGTTTGAAACAGTCAGAAAGACTGCAGGTTTGAAACAGTCAGAAAGACTGCAGGTTTGAAACAGTCAGAAAGACTGCAGGTTTGAAACAGTCAGAAAGACTACAGGTTTGAAACAGTCAGAAAGACTACAGGTTTGAAACAGTCAGAAAGACTACAGGTTTGAAACAGTCAGAAAGACTACAGGTTTGAAACAGTCAGAAAGACTACAGGTTTGAAACAGTCAGAAAGACTGCAGGTTTGAAACAGTCAGAAAGACTGCAGGTTTGAAACAGTCAGAAAGACTGCAGGTTTGAAACAGTCAGAAAGACTGCAGGTTTGAAACAGTCAGAAAGACTGCAGGTTTGAAACAGTCAGAAAGACTACAGGTTTGAAACAGTCAGAAAGACTACAGGTTTGAAACAGTCAGAAAGACTGCAGGTTTGAAACAGTCAGAAAGACTGCAGGTTTGAAACAGTCAGAAAGACTACAGGTTTGAAACAGTCAGAAAGACTACAGGTTTGAAACAGTCAGAGAGACTGCAGGTTTGAAACAGTCAGAAAGACTGCAGGTTTGAAACAGTCAGAAAGACTGCAGGTTTGAAACAGTCAGAAAGACTGCAGGTTTGAAACAGTCAGAGAGACTGCAGGTTTGAAACAGTCAGAGAGACTGCAGGTTTGAAACAGTCAGAAAGACTGCAGGTTTGAAACAGTCAGAAAGACTGCAGGTTTGAAACAGTCAGAGAGACTGCAGGTTTGAAACAGTCAAAAAGACTGCAGGTTTGAAACAGTCAGAAAGACTGCAGGTTTGAAACAGTCAGAAAGACTGCAGGTTTGAAACAGTCAGAGAGACTGCAGGTTTGAAACAGTCAAAGCCACTGGGCTCATGTTCAGCTTGAGTTCCTGTCCTGATAGAAGACTAGCAGAGCATCTTTCTGTTTGGTGGTTACTATTTCTCTTCTGCTGACTTTATAAGATAGTTAAGTTATAACAAGTAATAATTATGTCTGTTCTAAACCCACTTTTCTGTTTTAGATCTCACTGGGTGTGCAGCAGGTAAAGGTTTCAGACTTCACACTACTCCCAGCCTTGGCCTGTACCAGTGATCTGCAAAGCTCTCCAGCTGGTCCTGGTCTGTACCAGTGATCTGCAAAGCTCTCCAGCTGGTCCTGGCCTGTACCAGTGATCTGCAAAGCTCTCCAGCTGGTCCTGGCCTGTACCAGTGATCTGCAAAGCTCTCCAGCTGGTCCTGGCCTGTACCAGTGATCTGCAAAGCTCTCCAGCTGGTCCTGGCCTGTACCAGTGATCTGCAAAGCTCTCCAGCTGGTCCTGGCCTGTACCAGTGATCTGCAAAGCTCTCCAGCTGGTCCTGGCCTGTCCCAGTGATCTGCAAAGCTCTCCAGCTGGTCCTGGCCTGTACCAGTGATCTGCAAAGCTCTCCAGCTGGTCCTGGCCTGTACCAGTGATCTGCAAAGCTCTCCAGCTGGTCCTGGCCTGTACCAGTGATCTGCAAAGCTCTCCAGCTGGTCCTGGCCTGTACCAGTGATCTGCAAAGCTCTCCAGCTGGTCCTGGCCTGTACCAGTGATCTGCAAAGCTCTCCAGCTGGTCCTGGCCTGTACCAGTGATCTGCAAAGCTCTCCAGCTGGTCCTGGCCTGTACCAGTGATCTGCAAAGCTCTCCAGCTGGTCCTGGCCTGTACCAGTGATCTGCAAAGCTCTCCAGCTGGTCCTGGCCTGTACCAGTGATCTGCAAAGCTCTCCAGCTGGTCCTGGCCGGTACCAGTGATCTGCAAAGATGGATGTGTTTATGTCAATGCAATAAAATTAATAATAACTAATCTACAAATCTCTTTTTTGTTCCTTTACATTTTAAACTTTCAACTCGTGTTTATCATTGTAAATTTATGTTACAAAATTAGAATCATTGCATGAAAAAGCACGTACTCATTAGTGTACATTATGTTCTGTCACATTTGAAAGTGTAAAAACTGTTCTTAAATCCAGTTGTCCTGGTCTTAATGGGCATTACACACGCAGTGACGTCACAGATAGAGATGTAAACTGTATAGTCAATCTAACATGCTGGTTAGGAAGTCTAACATGTGTGTGAATGTAAAAACCTCCTTGTTCCAGTCTTTTTGGGCTCCTTTATTCACAAACCAACTGTGGCGGAGCTACAGCAGTCAGTCTGCAGAGGTGAACAGTTTCCTATGACTCAGTGAGGAGGATCCTGAAGATCCCAGACACAGTCGTCCAGTCAGATGTTTGCTGAGTGCAGGGTGCGCTCCTTTCCTACGTCACTGCTACTATCGGTCTATGTGTAGAGTCATGATGGTACCTAATGCTACTATCAGTCATGTGTAGAGTCATGATGGTACCTAATGCTACCATCAGTCATGTGTAGAGTCATGATGGTACCTAATGCTACTATCAGTCATGTGTAGAGTCATGATGGTACCTAATGCTACCATCAGTCATGTGTAGAGTCATGATGGTACCTAATGCTACCATCAGTCATGTGTAGAGTCACGATGGTACCTAATGCTACTATCAGTCATGTGTAGAGTCATGATGGTACCTAATGCTACTATCGGTCTATGTGTAGAGTCATGATGGTACCTAATGCTACTATCGGTCTATGTGTAGAGTCATGATGGTACCTAATGCTACTATCAGTCATGTGTAGAGTCATGATGGTACCTAATGCTACTATCAGTCATGTGTAGAGTCATGATGGTACCTAATGCTACTATCGGTCTATGTGTAGAGTCATGATGGTACCTAATGCTACTATCAGTCATGTGTAGAGTCACGATGGTACCTAATGCTACTATCAGTCATGTGTAGAGTCACGATGGTACCTAATGCTACTATCAGTCATGTGTAGAGTCATGATGGTACCTAATGCTACCATCAGTCATGTGTAGAGTCATGATGGTACCTAATGCTACCATCAGTCATGTGTAGAGTCATGATGGTACCTAATGCTACCATCAGTCATGTGTAGAGTCATGATGGTACCTAATGCTACTATCAGTCATGTGTAGAGTCATGATGGTACCTAATGCTACTATCAGTCATGTGTAGAGTCACGATGGTACCTAATAGTATGGTACAGTCCCTGGTTTGCCCTTACAAGAATGCTGTTCATTGATTATAGCTCTGCTTTTAATTGTCTTGTCCCAGGTATACTGATTGAAGAGCTCATGTCTCTCGGTTTAAGTGTTGCCATGTGTAAATGGATCTATAGTCAAACACTGCATTCTGAAGTTGTAAAAAAGTAAGAATGAATACAGTGGTAAACAGTAAATTAATGCTTACAATGGCACTATGAGAGAGATGAGAGGGAGAAGTACCGGGATGGGAGGGAGGATGGGGCGATGAGGGTGGAGGATACGGAGGGAGGAGTGTCGAGGATGAGTCGTTGCGAAGATAGAGGATGGCTTTAGAAGAAGAGAGAGAGTGGAGAGGGAAGAGGGGTAAGGGGAGTGTGACGGGATGAGAGACGAGGAATCGAGGAGAGCGAGTGAGGGTCGGACGCGAGGAGAAGGGGTGGATGACTAGGATGACTCCCTAGGGAGGAGGAGGAGAGATTGAGAAAGAAGAGGACGAGACGTGAGTGGGGTGGAGGTGAGAGTAGAGGTAGGATGGGCGAGGGGCGGACGGCGAGGAAGGCGAGGTCATTAAGCTCTGGAGTGGGGAAGGCGTTGAGTGGAGGTGGGCGAGACGGAGGGCGATTGACGGGGTGTGTGTGATCGTGGAGAGGAGGTTTCTCGGGCCGGCGTGGATGAGACAGAAGTGGGGACGGAGGGGAGCCCGGAGTAGGCGAGGAGTGAGTAGAGGGATGGAGTTTGATAGGCTGAGTGAGAGTCTATACGAGAGCTCAGAGAGATCCCGGAGGGTGAGAGGGGATTCGAGGTTCGATGAAGCTGGGTGGGGATGACGTGGCTGTTGCGAGGAGCAGATGTGGAGTGATGAGTTGGCGAGAGGGGAGAGTTGAGGCTCCGGAGATCGAGGACGGACGACGAACGGAAGAGGGAGGAGAGGGGGAGAGAGGCGAGAGAGAGGGTTGTGAGGAGAGCGTTGGGAGAGGTGAGAGGAGATGAGGGGATGAGAGGAGATGGGAGGGGAGACTGAGCCGAGAGAGAGAGGAAGAGGTGGATAGAGGGAGGGGGGGGGGGGCGAGAGGAGAGATCGGAGATGCCCTAGTGAGGGGAGAGGCGGGAGAGAGGTACGAGAGGAGAGGGGGTAATGAGATGATGAGGGGAGGAGTGGCGGACTGGGATGAAGGACGGGATGATGGCGCGGGCGGATGGAGATTGTTCGACGAGTGCGAGGTTCGAGACTCGTAGGCCGGAGATGGATGGCTGGGGATTGAGGAGTGGGGAGGTGAGAGTGATGGGGGAGAGGATGCGCGTGTGTCGTCCTGAGAGTGATGCTGTTGAATGGAGAGGGGTGAGATGATCTGGATGTAGAGGACGGAGGAGATTTGTGTCCCGAGGTGAGAGCAGTGAGTGAAGAGTGATTGGGCTGCTGATGGTGCTGACCTGCCGCGAAGGATGGGGTATGGGTCAGGAGTGTTAGGGTGAGAGGGAGTGAGAGGCGTGAGTGAGGAAGAGAGCTGAAGGCGATGGAGGAAGAGCCAAGACGAGGAAGATGAGTTGATGTGCGGAGCGACGAGAGAGGATGCAGAGGAGTGGGAGAGAGGGAGTTGAGGGGGGTGAGAGCGAGGTGAGAGAAGCTGATCGAGAGAGGAGAGGGGGGAGGGAGGAGAGCTGGACGAGAGGGATAGGGGGAGTGGTGAGGAGAGGTGGGAGGAGAGAAGAGGGGAGCGAGGCGTGAGGAGGAGAAGAGAGGAGATGGAGAGATGGTTGAGATAGAGGTGGACAGTAGAGGAGAGTACAGAGAGAGAGAGAGGAGATGAGAGAGGAGAGGAGCGGAGGAGGGAGAGGACTGGAGAGGAGGAGAGAGACGAGGGATGGATGGAGAGAAGAAGAGGACAGAGTAGAGAGGGAGAGAGAGGGGAGAGAGAGACGAGAGAGGAGAGAGAGGAACTGAGGAGAGAGTAGAGAGAGAGAGAGAGAGAGAGAGAGAGAGAGAGAGAGAGAGAGAGAGAGAGAGAGAGAGAGAGAGAGAGAGAGAGAGAGAGAGAGAGAGAGAGAGAGAGAGAGAGAGAGAGAGAGAGAGAGAGAGAGAGAGAGAGAGAGAGAGAGAGAGAGAGAGAGAGAGAGAGAGAGAGAGAGAGAGAGAGAGAGAGAGAGAGAGAGAGAGAGAGAGAGAGAGAGAGAGAGAGAGAGAGAGAGAGAGAGAGAGAGAGAGAGAGAGAGAGAGAGAGAGAGAGATTGTTTAGGGCAGCTGCTTTCACATTAGATCCACTGTCGATAGTTACACACAATTGCTTCTTTTTATCTAGTTCCCAAACTACTCCCATATGTTTGAGGTAGCTCCGCGTTTTGGCACAATGTCTTCACCATGGTCTTCACCGCCGCCCTCAGCCATGTTTGCTCTCTGCTCTGTTGTTGTTGTCCCTGCACGCCGCTCTGCTACACGTGTCGCGCAGACGCATCATCAAAGTGCGCCGCACACAAACGTGTCTTCTGCTTGCTGTTTTCAGTGTTAAATGATCGTTTTCACCGGTATAAGGCATTTTCTTATCATTTAATTTACTTATACCGGTACAAAAAAAATATCGCCCAACCCTAATATATAACTTATATATTACTTATATATATATATTTTTTTTTTTTACTGCAAATCGCAAATAAATAAACTGGTATCTAACATATATATAACTTATAAACTGTGCAGTCGTTTGTTTTGCACTGTTCGTAGCTGTGTCTGTTGCTTTCCTCCTGCACTCGTAAATAGTTCATGTTTGTCGCAGATATTTACCACTATTATTGTTTTGCTGTTTGTGCTGAAAACACTTTAATAATAACTATGTTTCCAACAGAACTGTGTCTTTATTCACAGCATCACAGTTAAATGAGTTGAAACGATGAGTTTAGAACGGTCACATAAACCTACAGTAGAAACACATGTAATGATCCCAAACAGCTTCACTTTGTTTTTGTTCTGAAGGAGAAAGAAGCTTCTGTTTAAACTCCTGTGAGATCATCAGTGTGACAGGATTTATTTATGCGAGAGTTGACTTTTGTATTTTACATGAGTTATTATTTGTACAAACATGGTCCAAAGTAATTCATGATTTGATAAAAAATGTTCGTGGCTATAGTTAAAATGGGATATTGTTAAAATGGGATATTGTTATTTCACAAGAAATGATTATTTGAAAATGTTCAATATGAAAAACTTGGAGAAAATATAAAAATAAAGTGTTGCATATTGATATTTATCTGTCTCTACATATATTTATTGTGAGAAATCATTAAGATGATCAGTGTTTCCACAAAGATAAATATCATTAATTATTAATAATAACATAGAGTTAAAGGTAAATTGAGCAAATTGGTTATTTCTGGCAATTTATGTAAATGTGTAACAAACTGGTCCTTCTCATTAATCAGTGCCTGAGAAGTAGATCTTGGTTTCAAACAGGTTGGTGACCCCTGATATAGATGCTAACGTGCTAGCTCATTGAAGCCCAATAGGAAAGAGCTCATGGACGAAGTTTTGCTGTTTAAGCACTTTGAGATGCCTTGTGTGTGGACTGCGCTACACTAATAAACTTGCCTTTCCTTCGGTGTCTGAAGAGGGATAGTGTATTTGTAAATCTATCTGTGTGTGTGCGTGTGTGTGTGTGTGCGTGTATGTGTGTGCCCTTTGTGTGTGTGTCTCTGTGTGCGTATGTATGAGTGTGTGTGTGTGTGTCCCTGTCCCTCTGTGTGTGTGGTCTGTGTGTATGTGTGTGTGTGTGTGTGTGTGTCTGTGTCCCTATGTGTGTGTGTGTGTGTGTCAATCTCCCAGAGTCCTTAAAGACTTTGTGTGTTTCTTGTGTGTTTCTGTCCCGTTCCATCTGTTCCAACAGTTTACAGCTCTCTGAGAGCGGCCCACTCTACCACAGAGTTTCAGACCCAACTGGGCCGCCCTACACTTTACACTCTCCCCATCTGCTCCTGGATCAATATGTGCCAGACTCATCAAACTCAGAGATAGCACGGTTTGGGAAATCAGAACCGAGACTGAAATGATCATAAACTCATTTGTACAAGTACGACTCATGGATTGTTTGTGGTCGATGTCATATAAGTCCTACATCCTGTACCAGATGAATTAAGACAAGGCAAGTTTATTAGTATAACACAATTCATACACAAGATAGAAACAGTCACACAAGGATTAGAATCATGAATAATCACAGTATATTTGAAAAGAAAGACACAAGTATAAAACCGTCAGTTGTAGAAGAAACAGAACTGTTTTTAAGAACCAAACTTAAGATAAGATAAGATGTGCTTTATTTATCTCACAGAGGAGAAATGTACATGTCACATTTGGCATGGATAGAGACACTCAGATTGTGCAAAAGGAGGAAATGTGCAAACATGTAACATGCAGGATATATGTACAATAAAGTGACAATAATTATGTACAACAAAAGTGACAAGTGTCAATTGGAAACAGTGTCAATAGTAGTGCAGGTTTTCACACAGTGATCATTTAAAGTGACTTATTGTACAGTCTGACAGCGGTGGGGATAAAGGCCCTGCTCCTTCCTACACTGAGGGTGCCTCAGTCTTCGACTGAAGGAGCTCCTCAGCTCCTCCTCAGTCCTGTGCAGTGGGAGGTATTGTTCATGATGGAGGTGGCTTTGGCTAGCACCCTCCTGTCCCTCACCTCCTCCACAGAGTCCAGGGGCCTCCTGTCCCTCACCTCCTCCACAGAGTCCAGGGGCCTCCTGTCCCTCACCTCCTCCACAGAGTCCAGGGGCCTCCTGTCACTCACCTCCTCCACAGAGTCCAGGGGCCTCCTGTCCCTCACCTCCTCCACAGATTCCAGGGGCCTCCTGTCCCTCACCTCCTCCACAGAGTCCAGGGGCCTCCTGTCCCTCACCTCCTCCACAGAGTCCAGGGGCCTCCTGTCCCTCACCTCCTCCACAGAGTCCAGGGGCCTCCTGTCCCTCACCTCCTCCACAGAGTCCAGGGGCCTCCTGTCCCTCACCTCCTCCACAGAGTCCAGGGGCCTCCTGTCCCTCACCTCCTCCACAGAGTCCAGGGGCCTCCTGTCCCTCACCTCCTCCACAGAGTCCAGGGGCCTCCTGTCCCTCACCTCCTCCACAGAGTCCAGGGGCCTCCTGTCCCTCACCTCCTCCACAGAGTCCAGGGGCCTCCTGTCCCTCACCTCCTCCACAGAGTCCAGGGGCCTCCTGTCCCTCACCTCCTCCACAGAGTCCAGGGGCCTCCTGTCCCTCACCTCCTCCACAGAGTCCAGGGGCCTCCTGTCCCTCACCTCCTCCTGACCAGCTTGTTCAGTCTGTTTCTGTCCCGCTCTGTGCTGCCCGGGGCCCAGCACACGGCAGCGTAGTAAATGGCAGAAGCTACCACAGAGTCATAAAAAGTCCTGAGCCGAGGCCTGCTCACTCCGAAGGACCTCAGCCTCCTCAGAAGGACCTCAGCCTCCTCAGAAGGACCTCAGCCTCCTCAGAAGGACCTCAGGCTCCTCCGAAGGACCTCAGCCTCCTCAGAAGGACCTTAGCCTCCTCAGAAGGACCTCAGCCTCCTCAGAAGGACCTTAGCCTCCTCAGAAGGACCTCAGCCTCCTCAGAAGGAAGAGGCGACTTTGGCCCTTCTTGTGCAGGGCGTTTGTATTATGGACCAGTCCAGTTTATTGTTAATGTGAACACCCAGGTACTTGAAGCTGTCCACCAGCTCAATGTCCTCCCCCTGGATGTTCAGCAGCGTGTGGGAAAGTGGCTTTCTCCTGAAGTCGATGACCATCTCCTTGGTCTTACTGGTGTTCAAGCACAAGTGGTTGCACTCACACCAGTCGACAAAGTCCTTGATAACCAACCGATATTCCAGTTGGTTCCCCTCAGACACACAGCCCACGATGGTGGAGTCGTCGGAGAACTTCTGCAGGTGACAGCTGTGTGTGTCGTGTGTGAAGTCTGAGGTGTAGATGGTGAAGAGAAACGGTGAGAGGACAGTGCCCTGAGGGGCCCCAGTGCTGCAGACGACCACCTCAGACTCACAGCTGCGCAGCCGCACGTACTGTGGTTGGTCTGAGAGGTAGTTGATGGTCCATGCAGTGAGACTGTCCACTCCCGCGTCCTCCATCTTCCCCTGCAGCAGTGCCGGCCTGATGGTATTGAAAGCGCTGGAGAAGTCGAAGAACATGACCCTCACAGCGCTCCCGGCGGGCTCCAGGTGGGAGAGCGTCCGCTGCAGGAAGTAGATGACGGCGTCCTCTGCTCCGATGTTGGGTCTGTAGGCAAACTGCAGCGGGTCCAGGGTGGGGCTGACCACGGAGCGGAGATGGGTGAGGATGAGCCGCTCCATGGTCTTCATCAGGTGGGAGGTCAGTGCGACTGGTCTGTAGTGAGCCGGTTCCTTGGCGTGTGCTGTTTTTGGAACCGGGATCACACAGGAGGTCTTCCACAGGACAGGGACCTTCTCCAGGCTGAGGCTCAGGTTGTACATGTAGCTGAGGACCCCAGAGAGCTGGTCTGCACAGGTCCTCAGCAGCCTGGGACTGATCCCGTCCGGTCCTGCGGATTTCCTCAGCTTCAGGCGCTGGAGCTGACTCCTCACCTGGTCCGGTGTGATGGAGAGGGGGGAGGACCGGGGTGTACTGTCCGAGGTGGGGGCTGGGGATGCGGGGGCAGGTGGGCCCGGGGCAGCCGGAGGCAGTGTCCACTGGGCGGTGTCCACTGGGCTGGGGGCGTGTGAAGAGGTGGGGGCGTGTGAAGAGGTGGGGGCGGGAGGGGGGGCAGATGGAGAGGGGGGAGAATCAAACCGGTTGAAGTGCTGGTTAAATTCGTCCGCCCGGTGCTGGTCTCCATCTGCTGTTCCTCTGGCACTCTGTCCAAAGCCGGAGATGTTCTTTAGGCCTCTCCACACGTCGCGGGCGTTTCCCTGGGCCAGCTTCTGCTCCAGCTTTTTCCCATAGTCCTTCTTGGCCCTCCTGATCCTCCACTGGAGCTCGTGCTGGATCCTCTTCTGCTCCTCCCTGTCCCCTGAGATGAAAGCCCTTTTCTTGAGGTTCAGGAGGGCTTTAAGCTCAAGGGTCACCCATGGGTGGTTGTTAGAAAAACACCGCACCTTCTTAGTTGGTACAGTGTTATCCACACAGAAGAGAATATAGTCTGTAATGCAGTGTGTCAGGCTCTCCATGTCCTCACCATGAGAGCAAACATCATTTCCCAATCAGTGTTTTGAAAACAATCTCTCAGCATCTCATCCACATCATCGCTCCACACTTTTACAATCCTCTTCTGCGCTGGATTTCTTCTCACCACTGGTGTGTATTCCAGAGACAGACGGACCAGGCTGTGATCAGAGCGTCCGAGAGGGGGGAGGGGGGAGGAGGCGTATGCGTCCCGTACATTAACATACAGTAGGTCCACATTAACATACAGATTATCCAGAGTCTTATTGCCACGAGTTGGGCACGTGACATACTGTTTGAATGTCGGGAGAGTGGCGGAGAGGGAGGCGTGGTTAAAGTCTCCGCTGATCAGAATCAGAGCGCGGGGACTGCGGGTCTGGATCTGGGTCACAGTTCTGTGCATCTCCTCACATGCTGCGGCTGCGTCTCCTGACGGAGGGATGTAAACACATAGAACCACGGTGTGTGAAAACTCCCGCGGCAGATACCTGGGTCTCATGCTCACAGCGAGCAGCTCCAGGTCCTGGGTGCATGTACGCTGGACCACATGCACGTGCGTCGGGATGCACCACTGCTCGTTCACGTAGACCGCGACACCCCCGCCTTTCCTCTTCCCACTCCCCTCCGCGCAGCGGTCTGCTCGCACAAGTTTAAATCCCTCCAGCGCGACCACAGAGTCCGGTATATTCCCACAGAGCCACGTCTCAGAGAAACACATAAGTCCACATTGTCTGTACTCTTTATGATGGCGGACCAGTGCGGTCAGCTCCTCAGTCTTATTAGAGATGGACCGTACGTTCCCCATGATGATGGAGGGGAGATACGGTCTCTTCTTCCTCTTTCGGCCTCCTCTGGAGCCCCTGCGTCTCCTACGGATCTCCAAGGGGATCACCGGCTTCTCTGAGTGCCGGAAAGCGGAGTCTCTAAGTCCGAGAAGCTGCTCCCGTGTGTAAACAATGGGACACGCTGGTCTTGTGGCTCTGTGAGCGGAGAACTCCGAAAAAAGTGCCGAAGACATGTTAATCCAGTGAGAAAGTCCACGAGGCTAGGCTTCCCGTGTGCACAATGCACAAATAAACGCTTGTCTACGAAAAATAAAAATAAAAAAGCACATCTACAAGAAATAAATAGAGAAAGGGTCGGAAAGAGAAGAGAGCCAAAGTGACGAGCTGCACAGCGGGAGCTGGCGCCGGAAGTCACTTCACACCTTTAATATCTTAGAAGTAAACTGAACCTTTCGTTTCTAAGTTGTATCGTTGTGAATCATTTAAGATTCTTTTTAAGAATATTATTTATATTTTCTGTTGCTTTGGGCAGATACGGAGGGACGTGGTTTTGCTTCTGTTAGATCTAAAGGCTGAAGAGTCATGCACTAAAACCTGAAACTTTACTGACAAACTTAGAGTAACCTTCTCTCAAAGTCTGGTACTGATACAAGGTGCATATTCCTGCTTTAGTCCTGCTCTAGACCTGCTTTAGTCCTGCTTTAGTCCTGCTTTAGACCTGCTCTAGACCTGCTTTAGTCCTGCTCTAGACCTGCTTTAGTCCTGCTTTAGTCCTGCTTTAGACCTGCTCTAGACCTGCTTTAGTCCTGCTTTAGTCCTGCTTTAGACCTGCTTTAGACCAGCTTTAGTCCTGCTTTAGTCCTGCTTTAGACCTGCTTTAGACCTGCTCTAGTCCTGCTTTAGTCCTGCTTTAGACCTGCTTTAGTCCTGCTTTAGACCTGCTTTAGACCAGCTTTAGACCTGCTTTAGTCCTGCTTTAGTCCTGCTTTAGTCCTGCTTTAGTCCTGCTTTAGACCTGCTTTAGACCTGCTTTAGTCCTGCTTTAGACCTGCTTTAGTCCTGCTTTAGTCCTGCTTTAGTCCTGCTTTAGACCTGCTTTAGTCCTGCTTTAGTCCTGCTTTAGTCCTGCTTTAGTCCTGCTTTAGACCTGCTTTGGTCCTGCTTTAGTCCTGCTTTAGTCCTGCTTTAGACCTGCTTTGGTCCTGCTTTAGTCCTGCTTTAGTCCTGCTTTAATCTCTGATCAGCTGATTCCTTCCATTCCTTTTGTGAATCCTCCTTATCTTAAGCAAATTCCCAACTTTCTAAGTAAAAATAAGTGATAATTTTCCAGAATATTCCGGAGGCGTTTGCAGTTTCCAGTCTGCGTAGGTTTGTGTTTGCACAGATCACGCTGGAGCTGAGCCAAGACAAAGCCAAAGTCGTTTCTCATTTCTCAGATCGGTGCGAGGAGAACAAGCAAACCCCATTCATGGATCTGAGCACGGGAACTATCTGTAATGTGTGTGTGTGTGTGTGTGTGTGTGTGTGTGTGGTTCTGGAGGCCTCCTGGACCCACAGAGACTCGGACCCAAACCAGACTGAAGGTGCTAGCTGGATGACGTCGCGAAATTGACTTTGACACCGACGTATTAGACTTGAGAAAACTGGAAACCAAGACTTTTTCAAGCTACACTGCAAAAAATGATACAAAGTGAGGTAATAGTAGCATGAATGTACTGGTTTTTTATCTTAATTTGGGTTCATTCTGACTTTCTTAAAGCAGGAGTATTAATGATGACAGATTAGGGCCCTTTAATGATGACAGATTAGAGCCCTTTAATGATGACAGATTAGAGCCCTTTAATGATGACAGATTAGGGCTCTTTAATTATGACAGATTAGGGCTCTTTAATTATGACAGATTAGGGCCCTTTAATTTTGACAAGTTAGGGCCCTTTAATGATGACGGATTAGGACTCCTTAATTATGACAGATTAGGGCCCTTTAATGATGACAGATTAGGGCCCTTTAATGATGACAGATTTGGGCCCTTTAATGATGACAGATTAGGGCCCTTTAATAATGACAGATTAGAGCCCTTTAATGATGACAGATTAGGGCCCTTTAATGATGACAGATTAGAGCCCTTTAATGATGACAGATTAGGGCCCTTTGATGATGACAGATTAGGGCCCTTTAATGATGACAGATTATGACTCCTTAATTATTACAGATTAGGGCCCTTTAATGATGACAGATTAGGGCCTTTTAATGATGACAGATAAGGGCCCTTTAATTATGACAGATTAGGGCCCTTTAATTATGACAGATTAGGGGCCTTTAATAATGACAGATTAGGGCCCTTTAAGGATGACAGATTTGGGCCCTTTAATGATGACAGATTAGGGCCCTTTAATGATGACAGATTAGGGCCCTTTAATGATGACAGATTAGGGCCCTTTAATTATGACAGATTAGGGCCCTTTAATGATGACAGATTAGAGCCCTTTAATTTCGACAGATTTGGGCCCTTTAATGATGACAGATTAGGGCCCTTTAATAATCACAGATTAGAGCCCTTTAATGATGACAGATTAGGGCCCTTTAATGATGACAGATTAGAGCCCTTTAATGATGACAGATTAGGGCCCTTTGATGATGACAGATTAGGGCCCTTTAATGATGACAGATTAGGGCCCTTTAATGATGACAGATTAGGGCCCTTTAATTATGACAGATTAGGGCCCTTTAATGATGACAGAGTAGAGCCCTTTAATTTCGACAGATTAGGACCCTTTAATGATGACAGACTAGGGCCTTTAATTGATTGAATTGTCCTACGGGGATCAATAAAGTGCACCTTTACCTTTACCTGATCTGTTGCTGGTAAAGGCTGCTTCAATCCTGCTTCATGGTCTGCTCTGTGGTAATGAATCTAACTTTTACGCACATTTTTTCTTAATCACTTTTGGAATAATGCAATGCACCTTGGGAAATGTGAGTCGTGCAGACACATTACAGCAGCAGAGAAAACCCCAGAAGACCCCAGTCTCTTGTTCTCTGTTGTAATCACCTCCTCTTCCTCACTCTTCTTCACTGTTCTGTCTGTGACATGTTTAATTCACTGAGAGCTCAGAACGACATGTGAGACTCATGAAAAGTGAATGTAGCTCAGAACAACTGCACTTGACCCGAGACGCCTCCACATCCTGGGACTGCACTGGGAAAAAACTTTGAAAATATAAGAAAAATAATATATGGAAATAAGTAAAATGCTGCTTAAAGTGATAGTCTGTAACTCTAAATGATTTACAAATTTTAGGAAATGTGTTAAATTGACCTCCTGGCCTTAAATGTTGATATAAAATAAGTCATTTTATTAATTCTAATATTACGGGCAAGTCCCGCCTTCCCTACTCTTAGCTATAGTCCAGAATCCACGGTGCCGTTGAGGTTAACCAATCGAGTCATGCCAAGGGCTGTCAATCATCGGCGCTGATGCTCGCAGCTGCTCATGCTCAGTTGTTTGTTTTCGCGGAGCCTCTATTAGGCTCTGGAACTACATGAAAACTGAACAAAGAATTCTGAACATCTGCACTGAGTTACCCATGTATATACTGAACCTATATTCATAATCATTTATATACTGAACCTATATCCATAATCATTTATATACTGAACCTATATCCATAATCATTTATATACTGAACCTATATCCATAATCATTTATATACTGAACCTATATCCATAATCATTTATATACTGAACCTATATCCATAATCAGATCCTCTGCAGATGTGTCCTATAATGTGCAATTCATGATAATAGCACTTCCTAATTTGCCGCGATCGCTTTTTTTGTGCATAAAAACATTATTTTTTTCATTAAAACGTTCACAAATAATTCTGAAAACCTCCGTGCATGTGTATTAATAATGTATATGTATAATGTGTTCTCTGATTAACATTTCAAAGTGTTACGGAAACGTAGGTGTAGACCAATCAGAAAGGAAGGGGGAGGAGCTTGCGTCGTTTTTTTTTTCAAATCAAGCACCTCTCTGTCTCTCTTTCTGACAAACTCCACTTCACTATCACTTTAAAATAATAAAAATGAGCTGCCACAAGAACAAGAACACATGACGTAAGATTTCTGAACATAATACTAGCTTCAAACGACTTGATTCTAGTTTAAAAACATACATTTCAAGTATGATTTACTTGTTACTTATTTTATCTAAATAAGAAAAGTCTGGAAATAAGAAAATTAACTTAAAACAAGCTTAAAAACCCACAACTCAGTCTTTTTTCTCTAATAAGATTATGAAGTGTCTTAAGGTCATGGGTTCGAGCCCAACATGAGACCTTCTCCCCTGACGTCTGCTGTCGTTGTGTCCTTGGGCAAGACACTTAACCCACTTTGCCTTTATGGAGCGTGTTGTTCGCTGCTTGCCTTGATGTGTGTGTGTGTGTGTATGTGTGTGTGTGTATATGTGTGTGTGTGTGTGTGTGTGTGTGTATGTGTGTGTGTATATGTATGTGTGTATATGTGTATGTGTGTGTGTATGTGTGTGTGTGTATGCATCAAACTGAAATTTCCCCATTGTGGGACAAATATAAGACCTTCTTCTTCTAAAACGAGTAATATTAATCTTATGACAAACTACATTTAAACAACAAAAACCGTTAAAAATAAATGAAGCTTATTTTTTAATTGTATGTTTTTGTTGCTTGAATGTAGTTTGAAATATAATGATAGAAAACACATAGAGCCATCGGTCCATAAGGGGCGGGATCATCAAGACTATTGGTCCTTCTAACTGTCAATCATTCCAGGGACACGGTTTAGAAGGTGTTCTCTCTTTCCTTAAATTCTAAAACATCCTTTACCTCAGCCCTTTGAGGACTTCCTCATTTGGTGGGTCACTTTTTAAGTCACTGCATCGACTTGAAGCAAGAAACTGGAATCTATATCACATGGTTTGAGCTACTTTTACCCTCAAACTGAATCCCAACCATTTGCTAAAAAGGTCTAGAACCAAAAAAAATAAACAGAATAACATTTAAGAATAAAAAAATGGCATTGCTTTAGTCAAGGAGCGAACAATAAATGGTTAATACTGTGGACGATCCTGTTTTTAACCATGTTTGTACAGTGCTCTTGGGTGTTTTAAAAGGCGCTAATAATTAAATGTTTTATTTTTGTTATTGTTGATGTCCTGAATCATCACCGCTGTCCTTAGACCTCCCGCCATCGGCAAGAAACGACTCAAAAACCATTTCCAGTGGGGAAGAAAGTGAAAAACCTCAAATAATAATTAGTCATAAAACTCACATCAACATCTCGACTTCCTCATGGCTGATTAAAATTAAGCGTTTGACATTTTAGGCGACTAATTAACGCCTTATTAAACAAGCGTACGTCTTGTTTTTTTCTACTCTCTCTAATCATTTAAAACATTTGCGCTGCAGACCACCCGCGCTCCTCCATCTCCACCTCGACAGCTGTAATTAAACGCAGTATAAAGAAGGACTACGGAGACAGTTTGTGGAGTTTTCCCGCCGAGCCGTGATTCAGCGGCAGTTTGAGGCTTTAATCAAACACATCCATCAGACGAGGACGCAACAACAAAAGAGTCGGTGATAATGACACAGGTGAGGGCCGTCTCCGGGCTGAGGAGGAGATGTACAAGCCTGAGGCACTTACTCTACTTACGAGTTTGTTTTAGTTATGTATGTATTGTCTGCGGCTCACTGCGGACTTTTAAACATGTTTTTCAATCTGCTTTTACTGAAAATGGAGATATTCAATGGACGGTTCAGGCACAGGAGCTGAAACTACAACAAAAACATAGAGCCTTTGGTCCACAAGAAGCAGAGACCGATGTCCGTGAATGCTGAATGTTGGTTTTTTTAGGAGCAAAACATGGACATTCGTGAACTGGAGCCAGAAGAGAAATCGGTTGGAGCTGGAAGCACGATGAGATTAAACTCCTCCTGGTTTTTGTAAAGTGAGTATAAGCAGCTTCTTTCATTCAGTTTGCAGAGTTTCACATCATATTCATCCTGTACAAAAACCACCAATTAAATGTTATATCAGATGTTTTATATTTTTTATATATTTATAGTCTCTTGTTTTGTTTATATACTTGTCTGGTGCACACTGGGGACTTTTGCAAATGTATTCCAATGTGGTTTTACTGCAAATGTCAAAGAAAATGATTCTGAATTTGAGACGGACCCTTTGCATTCGAAGCCACTCACCCTCACACAGAAACGAAATTATGTAAGCTCAGAAAAAACGCCTGCGATGTCCGAGTCTGATGTCGAGTCTAATGGTCCGAGTCTGATGATCCGAGTCTGATGTCGGAGTCTAATGGTCGGATTCTGATGTCCGAGTCTGATGATCCGAGTCTGATGTTGGATTCTGATGATCCGAGTCTGATGTTGGATTCTGATGTCCGAGTCTGATGATCGGAGTCTAATGGTCTGAGTCTGATGATCCGAGTCTGATGATCCGAGTCTGATGTCGGAGTCTGATGTTGGAGTCTGATGTCCGAGTCTGATGTTGGATTCTGATGTTGGATTCTGATGTCCGAGTCTGATGTTGGATTCTGATGTTGGATTCTGATGTCCGAGTCTGATGATCCGAGTCTGATGTCGGAGTCTGATGTCAGAGTCTGATGATCCAAGTCTGATGTCGGAATCTGATAATCCGAGTCTGATGTCTGTGTCCAACGTGTGACATCAACCACAAGCTGAGTATTGGTTATTGTTGCATTTCTCAGACTCGTTATGTTCATCTCATTCTCACAGTTTTCTTCACTTACAGTATTATTAATCCTAGTTCCTAAAGACTGTGTTTATGCAGAACTACGTCCGGCCACTAGGGGTCCACGACCTAAATCATGAATGGAATAAATATGTTCAAAACCTTATACAACTTTCACAGGAAACAAGAAAACAAAAGCTCCTACAGGGATTGAAAAGGGAGTAAGTAAAACCCTTATATTAATCCAGACGCTGTAACCTTGACAACACAGGACACACAATTAGACAGAAACAAGAGCATTCTGGGTAAATCCACAAATCACATTATACTAAGGTTTACTGTAAAAACAATACAGTAACTACTAGGGGCGACAGTGGCTCAGTTGGTAGAGCATTGGCCTTTGAGCCTGAAGGTCGTAAGTAAGTAAGTAATCTTTATTTATATACCGCCTTTCACAGACCAGAGTCACAAAGCGGTTTACAATTGTTATTATTTTTGGGCATTAGTCTCTCACTCCACACAGAGATGGGAGCGGGGCCAGTACAGGAGGCGCATGCCAGAACTATTGTGCATGTTTTTAGTGGTAGGGGAAACCGGAGTACCTGGAGGAAACCTACGCAGACATGGGGAGAACATGCAAACTCCACTCAGAAAGGCCCTGGTCCGTCACCATACACCATACATCATCAATAATATCAATAATAACATCAAACAATAGCCAATTTTAAAATATAATATGTTTCGTGTGCCTCCATTAAGTTCCAACATTATATGATGTTGGAACTTGTAATAATCTGGAAAAAATCGATTGTAATATGTTTGTATGGTATGTGTGTGGGTGTATATGCATGACTGTGCGGGTATGTACAGTATGTGGGTGTACATGTGTATGTGTATATATATGTATTTGTATATATATGTGTATGCATGTGTATATATATGTGTATTGTATATATATATGTGTGTGTGTGTGTGTATGTGTATGTATGTGTGTATGTATGTGTATATATGTCTATATAGATGTGTATATATGTGTGTATGTGTATGTATTATATGTAGGTATGTATGGGTGGGTATACATGTATATATCTATTTTATAAATAGGTTGACAGTTATCTATTATTATTAATAATAATTATGTGTGTATATGTATGCATCTTAATTCTCTAAGAGGCTAATGATTTGATATAGTTGAATCTCCTTTCTGTTGTTATTGTTACTGTTGTCCTGCTGTTATTGTGACTCGTTAATTGATTAGTTTATTGATGTACTTATATCATTATTTTATCTTTATTATTATTACCATTATTATTATTATTATTATTACTGTTGTTGGTGTTATTATTATTATTATTATTATTATTATTTTATTTTTTTTTTATTTTTTTTTATTTTTTTTTATTTATTATTTCTTTATTCTGTAGTCCGTTGGTAAATGGTCTTACTGTATACCGTCTATCACTGTATTACATCTTATATATCTGTCACTCTTACCCCCCATTTAGGTTAATAACCCCGCCGCGCGCGCACACACCCACACCCACACCCACACACACACAGCCACACCCACACACCCACACACACACCCACACACACACAGGTATAGTTATATATTTCTTTAAAGTCCTCTCTATAACTAATATTAACATTGTTTGTATTGCTTGCTTATTGACTGTCCCTATGTATATGTTCACCTGGTGTGTAAATAAATAAATAAAAAAAAAAAAAAAAAATAAAAGAAAGGCCCTGGTCCGGACGGGATTCAAACCTAGGACCTTCTTGCTGAGAGGCGAGAGTGCTATCCACTCAGCCACCGTGTCGTGGGTTCGAGTCCACCATAAGACCTACTTCACGACTCCCTCTGATGTCTGCTGTCGTTGTGTCCTTGAGCAAGACACTTAACCCCACTTTGCCTGAAGCCCCCACTGAAAGATCAAGGCTCCTGTGGACTCAGGACCTGCAGGAGGATCAGTGAGGGGCTGGTGCTCTGACTGCCACCCCCGACCCAGAAATGGAATAAGGGGAAGAAAATGGATGGATGGATGGACATTAACTACTAGCCATGGTAAAAGGCAAGACAACTCTCACACACACACGCACACACACACACACAGGCCCAAACACACACGCACACACATTATTGAGCCATAATTCCTGCTTAAAAACAACAACTGCTTTTGAACAGAGAACAATTCTACAACTATGCTACGACAAGTCTATAAGTACAAATTAGCTTAACGCGTCTCGCACAATAACGATTATTCCAACCCCTTTTGTTCTTCGCATTGTGCAACGTGACAACCCCGACAGAGTGCATCCTTCTTGTCGTTATTTTTGACTAATAAAAACAACCAAGCAAGCCACCTGCTAAAAGCACAAAGACTCATGGGTTAGTCAGCAGAGACGCAGCCAAACTCCACACATGGATTTCACAGCGTAGCCAAAAACAGCGCTTCTAATTGGATGATGTTATGTTTTGGTCACATAATTAACCAAAGACAACAGGTTTTATTAGTATTTCCATTATGTAAGAGCTTTTCCCAGGTTGGTCCAGTCTTGTGAACAGGAGGCCAGGCCAGGGGAGACTTTGTTTACTTTGTTTATTTAACTGTGTAATGAAATCCATCTCACCAGTTCCTCACTCTCACAACATTTGACATCTATCTCTAGTTTTTACACACATGTATTTTTGGCCTCTTTCACATCTTCAGATCAGCTTTTGCCATTGAGCATTGAGCATTGAGCGGGATGATATTTGATTAGTATTAGAACCGGCCGTGCAAAGCCATTAGAAAATATTGGATTATTCATTTAATGTTCAGGACATGTGTTTTCACTTTGAAGGAAGTGTGTTTTTTTCTCCATGAGCCTGTTTAAAAAAGTTTTCACTTGAAACTACTGACAGAGCCATACAAAATATGGAATTATTCATATAATCATGATATAAAATATGGTCCACTGTGTAAGGTTTTGGTTCTAGAGGTCATATGCATCATTTTAATATGTTTTAATAAACTTTGAACCAGTCCTGCCCTCGGCTTGTAGCAAATTTGGTTTTTTTGGCCTCTGTCAATATTAACGGATGTAGTCACACATATCTCCACCATTGAAACTATAACAAATTGAAGTGAAGTGAAATCCCCGGGGGCTAGACTCTGGTGGTGGGAGCTAAGAAAAGGGTTAAAGAGCCGGCTTGGCAAACGAGGTCGGTGACGAGGAGGAGGAGGGTTGCTGCACGATATGAAAGCTCGGTGACAATGCAGGGTCAAGTGAGAAAGCAGCATGAGTTGGAGGACGGAGACTTGTGCACACATAAAGTTTCCAGTCTGAACCTCTACTTTGGTCACTTTTAATGTCATTCTACATAATAAATCTTGTACAAAAGATAATGTATATTCAGGGGTGCACATAAGTGGTACGACAAATATCAGAAATGTGTATCACTTGAGTTTGTAAGCGCCTTTGCGTGCTTCACATCTACCATTGTCCTTCTCAAATAATGGGGTGCTCCTCCCGAGGGGGGCGTGGTGCAATGCCAGTGTGACAGAGCGGTCCGTCTCTAGCTACGTGCGCGAATTCATAGTATTATACTAAAGGCTGACTTTCATGCCGTACACACACACACACACCGGCACGCACACACTAACGCCATTCCACACTCCCGCACCCTTTCCCCCCGTTCCATTCATACGTAACATCCACAGCATCAGTCGTTCTCTCGTCTGTCTCTCCTCAGTTACTAGTTCGCCAAAGGTTCACACTTGTGCGGGTCAGAAATACATTCAAGCAAACATTTACACACACATTTACACACACATTTACACACACATTTACCGCTCCTCTGGGTCTGTGCGCGAGGATCGAACCAGGACACTATTTCCTGGTGGGTTAAATGGGAATTATGCCCATGGATGTGCGTAAATAAATGTACATGTTTTGAGAGTATAATGATGTAATGTAATGTAATTTCAACCAAAATAATTTGCTCAGTGGGAGGGGCCAGGAGCCGTGTGTGGCACAGTCTGCCGCTGGTTACAGAGGAGTTAACCTGAAACTTAAAGGTGACCTATGTATCAGTGTGAACTTGCTAATTTCGTTGTAAATACGCTCTGCACTGCCTTCACCATTTTATCAAACAGAACATTGTTTGATCTTTTGTTTTGTTTTGCATTTTTAGGAAAGAGACCTGTGAGTCATTATTTGACTTGGATTGTGTGGATTATCTGAGCTGATCTAAACTTTAGCTAGAAGCAAGTATAAAATGTCGATTAAGAACCACGCGACAAATGGAGTGAGAACCAAACACCATCTCCTGGCACTCATCTGAGAACCTCACCGAAATAGTTATGTGCACCCCTGTGAATATTAACCTTTTTAACATGTTTTGCACACTTCCTGTCTTTAAGCGCACCCTGAATGATTCTATCTTTGCCAAACGTGACACGTAAATTACTCTAATGTGAGATCAATACCGTTTATCCTTATCTTCAGCTTCATATTGAGTTGTCTTAGTCTAATTTGAAAAAGGAGAAATTGGGTAGAAAGGAGACATGTTTATACCGTTTCTGAGATTTAGCATGGAGGGAGAAAAGCAACTGTGATTTTGATGAAAGAAACAATTATCTACAAAAATATGTCTTTGTCACGTATTTTCATCGCACTTCAGTATTTTGGTTTATGAAAGAAAATGTTAAACGCAAGCAGCTGACATTTTATCTCAAATGGTATTCTGGCAAACTCTTCTTCTGCTTGTAAACTCTACTGTTCTGGGCTGATATTTACCAATAACACAGATGTATCTCTCTAAATGAAGACTAAAGCCATATAGACCTGTGTGAAGGTGAGGGGAAGGGAGAGAACATGGTCTGTTATCTGTGGTCTCCAGCCGTGGTTCAGACTAACGAAGCCGAAAGCCGAGGATTAACTCCGTCAATAATTCAATGAACAACAACTTCAGCAGCGTCTGTAGCAGCAAACTCTGTACGATATGAGTTAAATGTATTTGTACATTTGGAGAAGGAGAAAGATAGA